TCCATTACAATAAATCTTTGCAGCACATTCCCGGAGGTTTTATAAAACTTTCTTGCACCTTCAAAAAAAAGTTACTCCAAGTTGAAACCTGTCATATAAGACTAAAAGCAAAAAAAAGAAGCAGCAAGTTTTCCATACTTAATCCTCAAAAAAACTTGTACAAGTTTACATTCTGCAGATCAAGAATACAAGAAATGTGAAAGGACAAGTAGCACACTTTGACTCTACGTATTTATACAGCGAAAAAGAAAAAAAGACCGATGCTCAAACCTTAGTACAGTCAGGCTCAAACCTCTCAGACCACCACACAATCAGTATTGGAAAAGTATTGATATATTGCATTTAAAATAGCTATTAGGAATGGCTATTGTACAAATCCATGCAACTATCCGTCATAAAGGAATTTATTATGTGTCATAGCAACACAATCCTATTTACACAATGATCTGTTGTTCCAGTCCATCAAGCATACAAGAATTTTTAATGCATTCAAAAAAAAAAAAAATCAATTAGGCATCGATCATCTGATTAAACAGACACATCGTGCTACTCAATTCTTTCAAGCATATTCATAAATCGAAGCCTTCAGACTTCGCTGCTAACATCCAAAACCTATCCACTCATATTTCAAGGAGCTGATTTTTAACCTTAATGAAATTCTGCACAAACTGAAATGTTACATGCTATTAACATGAAACACCAACATCTCAGACAACAGCTGAAAACTTTTTCTTTTTGAAGATAGACTTAGGAGTTTTTATTCTTCTCACAAACGTTCTTATGAAATATCAGAAAACTTCCCAAAACACACAGCACAGGAGCACACTTTCAAAGGGCATCAGAATTTTAAAAACGGAGAGCTGAATGATTAGGGCATCACAGCTGGCTCAGCTAAAGGTACAAAAGGCGGGGAATATAAATAAAAAGGAAATTACTATCTTTATACTTAAATCTTATTATTCACTCTGGAACAAAACACATTGCACAGTATGCTGATGCTAAGTATTCCTACACACTAAGCTTCTTAATTTTCACATCACCCCTTTATAATACCAAGAAACATCTGAAAGGTTAGAAAGTTAAACCTGAAAGGATGTTTTTGTGTTCTGTTTTTATGTATGTACTATTATCTCTCTGATGTTCTGGGAAAGGAGTGCTATGAATCCTGAAAACCACATTCCTCCTATGCAAAACAGGAGAAAGAGTACATGAGGTAGCAACACTAAGATTTAAATGCAAAACCAGCATTTTAAAACCCTGAGATACCAATGCTGGCCTTGTTGCAACTTGTGCTTCTGTCATGTTGAAAACTGACAACATAGACACAGATGAACTTGCTGCCAGCTCTTCCTTGCCTCCCCTTTTCCTTCTCCGCCCATTGAATACAGAGGGAAGAAAAACTAAGCTTCCAAATAACATCAAGAAGTCATATTTGTTAAGTAATTCATTGACCACAAGTATTGCCTACTGCCAAAGGAGAGACACGCTGTCAAGTCTGTATCCTATAAATAAAATACATGATTCTTCCAGTAGCATCTTCCCTTCTTATACTTGCCTTCTTACGCACACACTCTTAGAAAATCATTTGATTTTTAATCTCCTTAGCCGTTGAGACAATCTTACAGAAATCAGTCTAAATGCTTTACATATTTACTGATACTGAATTAACTGGATGTTCCCTTAACATCTGACAAAATGCTGTGGCATTCTCCAAATTGCTAAGCACTGTGTTGCAACAGGCTACCATGCATCTTCACATGCTCATTATGGATCCCTGCTGTCAAGCATTAGGAAGAAAGAGACAACCAAGTTATTGTTACAGCTTTACTTCTCTTTCCTACATGCGTATGTGTGTATATATGTATATACACACATATACATACACACACACATCAGCCTTTTATCCTTAGTTATGTTAGTAATGCAAAAAAAAAAAAAAAATTGTCCACATTTCAAATACAGTTTAGTGTTTTGTTATTGTGGCTTGTATTGATTAACTCCTGAGAGACACTTTCCAAGTTCAAATCCTTTCGAAGCTCTGTTTTATCTCTTCATAGCACTGTTTGTAACTACTACATAGAATATATCCCATACATACTTACCACACTTTCTTCAACACCTTGACACAGAATTCTAAGGAAATTTGCGTCTTATTAAAACCTTATTAAAACCTTCCTGTTTGGCACCAAGCATGCCTAGAACATACTTTAGTGGTATGGTGATGACGGGGTGACAGTTGGACTAGATGACCTTAGTGGCCTTTTCCAACCTTAATGATTGTACGATTCTATGATTAGGAGACATAGAAGAAGTTCTAGGAGAATGCTTACAGCACTACATGGAGATGGCTTTCTCAACAGGTTAGCAGGCTATGCTAACACTCATACTGCAGGCAGACAGGATGACTGCACCTGACAACACTTCGTCTTTTCCATGTCTATTTAATTGTTCTCATGCCAGAGGCCTCCCTTCTTCATGAGTCTCTCCTGCACCTCTGGGCTGCAGCACTGGGCTTCCAACAGGAATACACTATTCCCTCTTGCAGCATGACATACACCAGCTACCTTCATCTAGGCAATTAACTTCATTTTCAATATTTCCTTAATTTTAGATGGATCACTAGGGTGTTGTTTTTCATCTGCTTCTCCATTTGCATTGTCCTGCAGCAGAACCTGCAAGTTAAAATCTGTCAAGTCCCATAGTACTAACCTCAAGCAGTGGAACTGACTGACAAAGAGCCAGACCTAATATTTTAAAGTCTTCAAAATGCAGATATCTTCACAACCTAACAAAGCCTGCTAGTTTCATCCAAGGAAACAGAACTGACAATCCCAGCTGTCTTTGGGCAACAGCAAACTACAGCTTAAAATAATAACCTCCCTCGTAAATGTTTCCCTGCCTTCCTACAGTGTGGCACTTCCACTCTCATAATCCACCTACCCAATGCCCTTTCTGCACGATACTTCAGTTTAAAAAAATAAATAAAAAAGATATATTTTAAGTAAGCCTAGTATTTTTATTAACCAATCACATTTTCAGAAGTCCCTTGTGGTTTTCATTAACTCAATGTGACTCTGTAAAAGACTACAATTTTCAAAATGTGCTGAGATTCATCTTTTGAAACTTTTGCAATATTATTTATTTTGTATATATTACACCTAGAAGTAGGCACATGCTATGCAGCTGATTTTAACAAGCATAGCTAGGCTCTCCTTATTTAATATTCATGTCACAGGAGTAAAAATCCAGCCAGGAATCAAACTGTGGCATCGTGTGCCAAAGACAACTTACCACTCAGCTGGTAAGTTGGCAATTCAATTTACAAACCTGCATTCCTGCATTTTAATCCTTTGTAGAAAGGTGGTAATGTATGAGCAGTATGAAAAGAACTGGATTCAGATCATTAGAGGTTCACAAACTGAACACGCGAGTCTTTGGAGGCAGTCCAAAACAAAATCATGCCTAGGTGGTGATGTCCGTTCAATAAAAATTCAATGTCATAATTATCCTCTCACTTTTTCCCCAAAGAGCATTAGTGCTCAGAACTGTGCCACTGCTCAGCCAATTACATTAATGCTGTTAGAAGACAGATAGGGCCGGCAGCCAATCACTATGCCAGGTCACTGCCTGCTGATGGATAATTTACAATTATCAAGCAATTAGCAAATGAAGTGAAAATTCAACACTCATCTCCACAGAGCATAGAATAACTCATTTTAAAATTAAAAATATGTTTTAATAACTTTATTTGGCCACACAGCCAAACAGCCACACAGACAGCCATCTTCTTCCAGTTTTTCCTCCCATACACGACTGATAAAATGCTCTGCTGTCTTCAGATAGCAACCAGATCTATCATTTTATATTTCTTAACAAAAACAGCCTCTTCCTTGCAAGAAAATATTTAACAACAGAAAAGATCAAAACTGGAAACTGTTAATAAAGGTACTATTTGCTCAACTATCTGAAACTGTTAGTTAACTGATCACTTGATGAATCTCCTGTACTGGAGGGTGAGTAGTAATTAGCCAAGCACCTATCTGTCTGGGACTCCATAACTTTCTTTTCTTCTCTAAATTTGACAATAAATGACATAAAAAGAAACTGATCTGCAGTTATTCTGTAGCACAAAACAAAACTCTGCTTTCCATCCACCATCAAGTTACTAGCTTGCAATGCTCACAACAAAGTCTGCAACTCCCACTGCCAACACTCACAACCCTAAATAAAAAATATAGTAGAAATTTGACATCATCATTCCTGGAGAAATTTCTTTCCTTTCTAGAAAGATACTGTGTCTTACTTTGTATACGCATTATGAACACTGTAACTGACTTTGTTTTAAAAGGGCTGGAAAAAATGCAGACAAGACTGTCACCAACAACGAAGCCCAACTAGATTAACAGAGATTCCCATTGGAATTGGAGGACATTCTCATGTCCTCTGATAGCCAAAAACCAGGCTGACCTTTGAGAGTTGATCAGGGGAAAAAAAATAGGAAAAATTAAAGAAAACTTTTATCAAAAGGAGAAAGGGAAAAAAAAGGAAAAAACTGTTGATATCAATATGCAAATATGTTTATATAGATACGTATGCTCTGGACAACACTAGTCTTACTGTGTGTTGTCAGCAACTGCGCTAATGGCAGCTTTAGGTTTTCATCTTACAGATAAGTAAACCTGAACCAGAGAGAATTAAAAATATATGAAGTAAATACACAAGGCTAAGTGACGTCAATTGAGAAAAAAGAAAATGGATGGTGTTTGACACATTTCTCTCTCCAAAAAGATACTAGCAAGACACTAAGCTCTTTTGTGACTGTATGGAGTTTCAGAAAACATTTACGCTGTCAACACAAGATATTTACTTTTAAAACAGTCTCTCACCCTCTTTGTAGAGGAGGCATGCTTATCTATGAATTTTGTTCTTGCACCCCTCGGCACTACCACAATGTCTGAAAGCAGAGAACCGAAAGGAACAGAGAAAAGCCCTCCACAAACCTGCTGCTGTGGATACTGCATTCCTCCCATGGCTGCCGGGGCTCGTCCCTGCATCCCCACTGGGTAGCGCTGGGGGCCGGGAGGGCCGTAGGACTGCCCAGGGTAGGGGCTGCTCTGCTGCGCTTGGGAGTGAGGGTTATTGCCCATGCCATATAGCTGGGGTCTCTTCATGACCATTGGATCCATTGGGCTGCCCTGTTAATGAACACAAACAAAGAAGTCGTTAAGAAATGCTGGAAGAAATAGGTCAGAACAGTCACGCTCATCGCGAGCAAAGCATGCAGGTATCCTCTCAATGCTTTTACATCATTTTTACAAACACATCAAAAATAGATCTGACATAAAAACAGGCACAGTACCATATTATGGCTTCCATTAATTGGATGAGTTTCTGAATGGTAAGTTTGAGACTTCTGCTACATTTAGAAATAAGTAAAATGAACTACACAGTCAAATTTAGACTATATCTGTCACGTACAAAAAGACAGGTATAGTAATTTCCCAGCAAATTCCAGCTTACAAAACAATTGAATAGACTGCTGTACGCTGCCTTCAGTGTGTAAACATGCATAGAAGAATGCCTGCCAAGAGAGATATAACTAATGGGCAAGTAATTCAAACTTGAGAAAGTGTCTGTTTGCTTTCCTTCAGGAGAAAATAAATAAATAAATAAATAAAAATCAGGAAAACATGAAGAAAAGGAACTTCCCAACAAGCGCAATGCTTACAGAGTGCTGTATTTCAGTGCTCTCATATCGCTAGCACGAGCTTTAATAAGCTTCCAGATCATAAGGTAAGTCATAACCCACAATTTACATGGACAGCTATTTGCCTTTTTAACAGACTTCAGAAAATCCAAACTGAAATCACTTATGCAGGGGGGAGGGGAAGTTTTATTTTTAGACTTTTTGGCAGGATTTACCAAGCACCTTAACAGTTTCAAGATGGGCGTCAACCATCGTGTGCCATTACTCTCCCATTTTATTACTGAGAACTGAACTAGAAAAAAATACCATACTACTCCAATAGCAGAAGTACTGTATTGCTTATATGGGAACCATTCCTTAACTCCTGACTGACAAACAGTTATATTCAAACAAGAAAATTTAAGGAGTCTATCAGAATCTCATCTGAATGAGACATTCCTCCTCCCAAAAGAACCTCACCTACCCCCACTCCAGGAGTCTTTCTCATGGAATACTTGGTACTTGTTTTCCTACAGAAAACTTCATTTTTAAGTCTCCTACATAGCACACTTCTACAAGGCCTTTTTGGATACTATATTCTGACATAACAGCTCTTGTGAGAACAAATTACTTTTTCTCCCCGTCCGTATTTCTTTCTGTTGTTAGCTTGTACTCCTAAAACACTATTCTTCCTACCAGTACAGACAGATGTGTCCCCCTCTAGTCATGCTCAACAAACAATATGCTGTTCTTACTATTTCTTCCTTGAAAGTGAAGAACTCAAAGCTTCTTATTTTTTCCATCCGTTTCCCCCATCTCTACCAATACCTATTTGTGAGCAATGTGACCAAAAAGAGCACAGTTTTCCAAATGCAGTCAATGCGTTGGTGGAAACCATAACCTCATTCTCATATGACAGCTCCATTCATTTCAGTGGGCTGCCCTTTTTCCCTTCTTTTTTTTTTTCTCTTTTTTTTTTATTTTTTTTTTTTTTTGCCACCACAGCAAACTGCACATTCAATTCTAATTTTGGCTAACTATTACTCAGCAATTTTCTCTTTATTATTTGGCTTTTTTCGTGGCCGGATTTGAAGTTTCTATTTTTTCACCACTAAACATCCCTGGGTAATTTACTATTTATATTTCACACTTTTAAAAATCGATGGTTCCCAAACCACGTTAGGCCACCTGATCCCTAGCAACACACTCAGTTTTTCTTCAACCATCAAGCACTGTCATCACACTCTTAACTGAAAACAGACCCATGTAAGGGCTCAGAAGATGAACCAGAGATGCCTTATTATAGGCTCACAGGGGACAAGTTAAATTCCCTTTCTGCAGGCCAAGATACTTTCTCTGTGTTTATTTCTGTGTTTTAATGTTCATTCTTGCATACCACCTGTTGTATTCCTCTCCTCAAATATAAATCCTCGCTTAATGAAAGTTTTGGGTTTCCTTCATGAGATGCTCATGAAGCCTAACAGCACTGCTTATTGCACCATCTTCTGATCCAGAGCACTGTTTCTTGGTCTCACTTCCTATAACAACATTTACTCAAATTCTCATTAATTTTGAGCGTAATATTTTCTGCTCCCCATCCAATACTTAAATAGAACTACAAAACAATGTGGATAATTACATCTAAAACAGTTTGATACTTTCCATTAGGAAGACTATTTTCAGGTGCATATAAACCTTGCCAAACTTCAAGCATTTAGGCTGAAATTTTCCAGGCCATATGTATGCCTGAGGCTGAAATTCTCTGGAAAATTCAACTGAAGCAGTTCAGCTATGTCTTAGAATGAGGTCACAGAAGAATACATCATTTATGTTCTTACATAAAATACTTAAAAATACTGCTTGAATACCATGCTTTGGGGTGGAGGATTTTAATTTGCCAGAGTGACAATGGATTTCAGAGAAATACAAGACATGTAGCCCTAAGAATCCCTGAACTTCATGGCTTCCTAGGAGTGGAGGAAAAACAGAGAGTGCAAGCTGCAGAGCACAGCGAGACCGGATCAAAGGAGTTATGAGGTGTAAAGAGGTGGCCTGAAATTTACCAGACAAAGAAAGGACAACAGGTTAAAAAAAGCAGTGGAGACAGAACTGGGGCAGAAGAGGTAGAAGGAAGAGGAGAAAAAAAGGTCAGGAGGTTAAATTGATACAGGCTAAATAGTCTTCATCCACTGGAACCAGTGACCTCCAAGCAGTGGAGGTTTTCTGCTTGTTCATTAGGTGGTTTGGGAGTGAGCTTCCCTGACATTCCATCCTTCTCTCCTTTCCTCTCCCCAGCCCACTGTCTCCCTTTAGCTCTCACTTCTCCCTGTCCTACCCTGGAGACCCTACTCTCCCTCCCTCTGGTGAGATAAAGACTGAGAAAGAGCTCCAGTCACTGGGGCCTACAGGTGACCTATGCCATGCTGTGATCACCAGACGCAAGTAACAACGGCACGGGTGAAGAGGGACCTGGGCATACTCAGAGCTTACACTGGACCCTGCCAGTGATACACCAGAATCAAAGGGCAGGACAAGCCAGAGATACCTGCCCTTGGTGTTAATGCTGCTTGCTCCCTTCATAGCCTCGGGGAAATGGTAAGAAATAGTACAATAAAGTCCTCTGGATCATCATTAGGTGGAGAAGTAAGACTCTGGTATTAAGTATTCAAAGCCATGGAAGAGAAGGATGGTCCATCTTAGCCATCTTGATTTCTTGTCCTGAGAAGCATGAGGAGGCAGACGGTCATAAAGGAGATACTAAGACCAACTGAGCGCTGTGTACACTTGAGCACGCTCAGGTATAGACAGGAGGCCTCTCCCACAGGTGGGGAACACACTATTGGAAATACCACACAAAAAACCATAGCCTGAAATGAAACCTAAGTGTAAGCAAAATCCCAGGAATCTTCTAGCATCAGAGAACTGCAACATGTAACCCAATGAAGACATAAGTCACCCTTTGTTCTGGCTGGTCCCTATGAAGGAGGCATCCTACCCTCCATCTACCATGGTTTTTACTTAAAGCTGAATAAACTTGCTAAAACAATGAATTTTCAACATATATCAGTTTAAGGCATCCCTCATTCCCTGTCTTGAAATCATAGGATTTTACATGTAGAAATGCTTCCTATTTACCAACTGAACTACTTTTGAACTTGATGAGATATGATTTGGAGACCTTTTGAGAAGTTATGCGTTGCAGAAAATTGGACCTACAGCCATCACAGACAGATCACAGACAAGCTACTCAAACTTCCTACTGTAATGCCTCAGTTTCCTAACTGCAAAAGTGGGGAAAAAAAATAAAATCATTACATCTTCACTAGAGAGGTGATTTTAAAATTTAATATGACAGTGATCAATACCATACAAAACTCTCTCAATAAAGAGCAGATTTTGTCTTCAGAACATTGTATGGTAAGAAAGACCTGGAGCCATACGCTTAACAAAAGAAACGGTGCTGAGTATCGAGTGTACTGTACAGTGGAGTTAGAAATTTAATTATAACTTTTTCTAACTTTATCATGTGCACAGTTTTCAGCTTCAGCATTCTTTTAAAGTTTCTTCTTTAGAGAAGGAGTTTTTCTCACTCACAATGTTTTGAAAAGTTGAAGATCTTATTTCAGAAATACATCTTACATCTTCCTACACGAAGGTTCCTTTAACATTTGTTAAGTTTGAATATTTTCTTTTTCGCATTAGTTTTGAAAGTTTTCAAAGACAACTTTAGGGCAACAGAATCACGATGAAAGTGTCAATCTGCAGGTTCTAGGGATCAACAACCAACCACCCCACACCTGCACACAAACTCTTTTCGAAACGACTGCTGCTGACAGTCAGTGAATTTTCCTACATCCCAGTGGACTTACATTATCCTGAATGGATGTTGTTTATTTTTTCCACACCTTCTACGCATTTACTTAAAACTGATAAGTAAATAGAACTAAAATATAGCATTTAATATAATTATTTTAGTTTCATTGCAACTATCAGTATCCATCTATTTCCCTGACACTAACTTGAGGCCAATTTAGTTTGCTCACCCTAATTCCTACTGCCATATTCTGCCACATAAGCCTGAGCAGACTTGGCATTTTCATTCTGACTCTGCACCTCCTTTTCAACTTGCTGCATTTCATTTAAACTTTGCACAGATCTGTAGTTCCTCAAAATACCTCAGTTTTGCTCTTTGCTTCGGTCTGCAGTAATACAATTCGCACCTTCTTTATTGCAGTGCCTATCTTATATCACTATCGGATTCATTTGCACACGTACTACCAGGCTTTGTGAAAACAGAGTGCTTCATAAAAGACCTTGCCCATTGTGCGCCTTGTGAGCACATTAAAACACTGAAAAGAAGCTTTGCTAATGATTTCAACAGGGCCAAGGTTTCATTCCTACTCTTCGGATTGATAGTGCCACCATTAAGACAAGAAGAAAAGCTTACACTGCCTACAGATAGTAACCAACAAACCTTTTCTGTTACATGTTCCTTCCTTCAGTGTTTTG